AGCATGGGGGTTTTGACCTGCTCTGTTTCTGACCTGGGCTGGTTCACCCCTCCTTAGGCAACCTGGTGGTCCCCTGCTCCTGGGAGGTCACCGTATTGATGCCGAACTTAGTGCGGACACCCGATTGGCGTAGCGCACTACAGCCCAGAACTCCTGGGCTCAGCCTCCCAAGTAGCTGGGACGACAGGCGCGTGCCACCGTGCCCGGCTCCTGTCCCCTTTTAAAGGCTCAGAATCTTAGAAATTACATGTGAAAAGGTCTTGATCCATGAAGTAGGTGCGTGGTATGTGACTTAGGTGGAGGTCTGATCATGTTTAAGCAAAAAGAATGCCTTCCAGAAAGATTCCTCCATACCATGCCTGCTATCTATAGGGGTGCAATTAAGGGTGGCACCCAGTCTGCTAGGTTTTACCTCTCCTATTGAAATGCAGTGCAGAAGGCTGGGGGAAGTGGTTTTAGAAGCTTAAGAGGATGAAGGGTGAGTAAGGGTCTCCTTCCTTAACAGGGTTTGGTTTTGTTGCCCAGACAGGAGTACAGTGGTGTGATCTCGGCTCACTGCAACCTCCACCTCACAGGCTCAAGTGATCTTCCCCTGTTAGTCTCCTGAGAAGCTGGTATTACAGGCATGTGCCACCACACCCGGCTAATTTTTGTATTTTTAGTAGAGATGGAGTTTCACCATGTTGGTCAGGGTGGTCTCAAACTCCTGACCTCATGATCTGTCCCCGTCAGCCTCCCAAAGTGCTGGGGTTACAGGCGTGAGGCACCGCAACCGGCCTAATTAAAGAAATTTTTTTTGTAGAGATGGGTTTCACCATGTTGCCCAGGCAGGTCTTGAGCTCTTGGACTCAAGTGATCCGCCTGCTTCAGCCTCCTAAAGTGCTGGAATTACAGGCATGAGCCACCGCACCTGGCCAAGTTCTACTCTTTCTGCTGCTTGCTGCCAGGGCTCTTTCTTCACCTTGAGGGCCACTTGTCATAAAGAACTATAATCATGCAGATCCCTTTTTCCCACTGATACACTAGGAGCTCCGTGAGGGCAAGAACTTTGCCTCCCTTACCACTGCGTCCCTGGGAACTGGTCTCAGCAGTAAGCACCGATAAATAATTGTGCAAAGAATGAGCCGGACATGCTGGCTCATGCCTGTAATCCCAGCACTTTGGGAGGCTGAGGCAGGCAGATCACTTGAGGTCAGGAGTTCTAGACTAGCCTGACCAACATGGTGAAACCCTGTCTCTACTAAAAGTACAACAATTAGCCAGGCATGCTGGCAGGCACTTGTAATCCTAGCTACTCAGGAGTCTGAGGCAGGAGAATCACTTGAACCCTGGAGGCAGAGGTTGTAGTCAGCCGAGATTGCAGCACTGCACTCCCGCCCGGGCAACAGAGGGAGACTCCATTTAAAAAAAGAGAAAAAGAATAAATTGGCTGTAAAACTCTGCTGCTTGTTTGCAAAAATCAAATCCATCCTCAAAGGACCAAAATTTGTCACCCTTGATGAAGGTTAACAGTGAAGATTTACTGAGAGTTTGCTGAGGGTCAAACATTGGGCCTTTATTTTATTTTATTTTTTTGAGATGGAGTTTCACTCTTGTTGCCCAGGCTGGAGTGCAATGGCATGAACTCAGCTCACTGCAACCTCCGCCTCCTGGGTTGATGCGATTCTTGTGCCTCAGCCTTCCAAGTAGCTGGGATTACAGGCACCTGCACCATGCCCAGCTAATTTTTTTGTATTTGTAGTAGAGACAGGGTTTTGCCATGTTGGCCAGGCTGGTCTTGAACTCCTGACCTCAGGTGATCTACCCGCCTTGGCCTCCCAAAGTGCTGGGACGACGGGTGAATCACTGTGCCTGGCCAACACCGGGCCTTTAAAATTGCATATTTCATTCAATCCTTGCCAAAATCCTAGGGGCTGGATACTCTCATCCCCATTCTGAGGGGGGAAATTGAGTCTCAGAATAATGAAATAACTTGCCCAAAGTCACAAAGTTTGGAGGCTGTTCAACCCAAAGTGCAAATGTTTAACCATTATGTTATACCTGTTTTTCTTTCTTTATATATCATTGTTAATAGTTTTTAGAAAATGTTTTGGAAATTTAAAAAGATATGTACAAAGAAGAAAATGTCAATCGTTCATATTTCCAAGAAGCAGATTCATAACTGATGGCCAGATTTCCCTCCAGCTTCCTCTTGTTTGACATTTCTCCACCTGCCTTCGCTGAGAACAGAGGAATGTGCTGAAGGGCCCCAAAGCCATTTCTTTTTGTTTTATTTATTTATTTGTTTATTTTGAGACAGTCTCATTCTGTCGTCCAGGCTGGAGTGCAGTGGCGCAATCCCAGCTCACTGTAACCTCCGCCTCCTGGGTTCAAGCAATTCTCCTGCCTCAGCCTCCCAAGTAGCTGGTATTATAGGCATGAACCACCACACCCGGCTGAATTAGCAGAGACAGGCTTTTGCCATGTTAGAGAGGCTGGTCTTGAACTCCTGACCTCAAGTCAGGAGTGATCCACCTGCCTCGGCCTCCCAAAGTGTTAGGATTGTAAGTGTGAGCCACCGTGCCCAGCCTGTTGTTGTTTCAGAGACAGGATTTTACTGTGCTGCTCAGACTAGAATGCAGTGGCGCAGTCATGGCCCACTGTGGCCCCGGACTCCTGGGCTCGAGACATCTATCTGCTTCAGCCTCCTGAGTAGCTGGGACCATAGGCTTGCAGCATAAGGCCAAGCTATTTTATTTTATTTTATTATTTGTAGAGACAGAATCTTGCTATGTTTACTTGGCTGGTCTTGAATTCCTGATCTCAAGAGATCCTCCTACCTCAGCCTCCTACAGTGTTGGGATTACAGGTGTGAGCCACCGTGCTTGGCCACCAAAACCATCTCTAAAGAAACGTAGGCCAGGCCTGGTGGTTCACGCCTCTTTGGGAGGCCGAGGCAGGTGCATCATGAGGTCAAGAGTTCAAGACCAGACTGGCCAAGATGGTGAAATCCCGTCTCTACCAAAACTACAAAAATTAGCCAGGTGTGGTGGCAGACACCTGTAATTTCAGCTACTTGGGAGGCTGAGGCAGGAGAATCACTCCAACCCAGGTGGCAGAGGTTGCAATATGCAGAGATTGTGCCATTGCACTTCAGCCTGGGTGACAGAGTGAGATTCTGTCTCAAAAAAACAAAAAAAGAAAGAAAGAAAGGCAGCGTGGAGTTGTGCGTCATATAGCCAAGCCGGAATGGCTGGGATGCTCCCGAGATGGCAGCAGGTAAGTCTGAGTGTGCTGTGGCAAAGCCAGTCTCATCAGGCGACAACACTGGATCAGGGTGGAAAGGACTCCCAGGGAAGGGGCGATGTCCACTTGGGTGCCCCAAGTACTCACTTGCCCTGGGAAAAGGAAAGCTAAGCTGTATTCTTATCCCACTCAATGAGCCAGCCCCAAGGTCACCTCCTCCTGGGAGGACTCCTGGAGCTGTCATCCCCTCCGGAGGACCCACCCTGGCTCCTTCCTTATTCAGTTCTGACCTTCCTAATTGTGTGAGTGTGTGTGTTTGTGTGTATGAGAGAGAGAGACAGAGAGAGAGAAAGAGAGAGAAAGAGAGAGAGAGAGAGAGAGAGACAGAGAGAGAGACAGAGAGAGAGACAGAGAGAGAGAGAGAGAGAGAGAGAGAGAGAGAGAGAGAACCAGTGCACCAATGAAAGAAACAGTCCCTCCCTGTCCTCACACTCCAGACAGCAATAAGCTCCCGACACCTTACACTTGGTTCTCCTGGATCACAGTGTGCAGTCCTGTGCGTTAGACCTATGTACACCTCTCTCTTTCTGTCAGGCTGGGAGTTCCTTAAGGGCAGAGGCTATTTTTCTCTGTAGTATTTAGCATATTTAACATTTAAAAGATAATCAGTAAATTGAGATATCAATTATGGGGAAATGGGGAAAAAAATGCTTGGAATCAGACCTAGTTTTTTTGTTTGTTTGTTTTTGTTTTACTGAGAAAGAGTCTCACTCTGTCACCTAGGCTGGAGGTCAATGGCACGATCTCAGCTCACTGCAACCTCCACCTCCCAGGTTCAAATGATTCTCTCGCCTCAGCCTCCTGAATGGCTGAGATCGTGGGTGCCTGCCACCATGCCTGGCTAGTTTTTGTATTTTTTAGTAGAGATGAAGTTTCACCATGTTGGTCAGGCTGGTCTCGAACCCCTGACCTCAGGTGATCCACTCTCCTTGGCTTCCCAAAGTGCCAGGATTACAGGCATGAGGCGCCATGCCCGGCCCAGATGTACCTAATTCTGATTTCAGTTCTGCCACATTAGCTATGTGACTTTGGATGAGCAACTCAATCACTGTGAGCTTTCAGTTGCTTATTGCTAAATTGAGAACATTAATAACTAACCTTTGAGTTTGATAAATGAGGACTGAACAGGTCCACACAGGTCACACACCTCAGTGTAGTGCATGGCAAAAAGTAGGCGGTGTTTCCAGACCACAGTGGGGTCAAGGGCCCCGGATTCTATTCTGAGCTTTGCCATCATCCTGGAGCAGGGCATTCCACTTCTCTAAAGCCCAGTGCTCTCATCTGTGAGAAGGGGGCATCTCCACACCCACCTCACAGAACTGTGGAGCACTTTAAACTTAAAATACTGCACACACAAGTCTCTGACCTACAGCAGCTACGAGATAAACCTTTGTTACATTGTCTAGACCCTTTATACTCTGGAATCTCTCAGTCACACCGTCCAATGCGCAGGTCTATAAGGAGACAAAAACACACTCTAGGATGGTTATTGGCAGTTAGGTCCAGCCGAGGGGAGCTGCCCATTTAGAGAATGGGGGAGGGGCAGGGCAAGTCGCCAAGTCGCCGAAAACCTCAGCTCTCCGCACCACAGGTCCATGGTTCCCAGGGACCCATTTCCTCTCCCAGCGGGAAGAGTCCAGGTCTTCCTACAAAGACAAATCATGCTCCTCAGAGCTGCAAGCAAGCAAAGAGACAGAACAAGACACGCTCTTGGATTCAGGATGTTCTGTGATGTTTGTAATTATAAAAGTTGCTTGGAACCGGGTAGAACCTTGGGAAGGCTGATGGGGAACCAGTCCGCACTGGGCGGGACTTTGAAAGAGAGCCCCACAGGAAGGAAAGGAAAAGCGGGGGTGTTCTAAGTCCCCAGGCAGGTTGCTAAGGGGGGTGCTGGTCTGGTCTGGAGTGTAATTTGGAAACATCATCTTTGCTCAGCCCCTGTAGGGCTGGGGCCCACTGGGCAGGTGTCCCCAGGGCTGAGACATCTTTATGACGTTCTCCAGGTGGCTGTCACAGGCAGTGGGTGTTCTCTGGCTGTCACTGGGTCTTCTGCAGGTCCTCGGGCCCAAAGGAGGAAGGCAGCAGCTCCTGGACCGTCATGACAACATACGTACCATCCGGCTTGGTCATGTACACCGCCCAGTTGGTGCCAAACTGGAAAAGAGGCAAAGCCGGCATGAGAGATGCAGCATGACTGCAGGGTCTGAGTCTGACTCCACCACTCACTGTCTAACGTTCCTCTCTTTGCCTTGATTTTCTCATCTGTAAAATGAGAATGACCATAATTGTGCCTGGATCAGAGAGCTGTAGGGAGGAGGAAAAGAAAGAATGCTGTGAAGCTGATCAGTGCATGGCACACTGCGAACGGGCACCATGAAAGACTCACCCAGGACTTCATAAGAGCAACAGCCAACCCTGGAGCCAAACCTCCTTCTGCTACGACAAATGACAACTAACACCTGCTTCCCTTACCGTATCCCCTTCACACCTCACACCAGGAGAAGCTGCATGCCTGCTACATACACACAGTGTATTAGTCTGTTCTCAAGCCTCTAATAAAAACATACCCAAGACTAGGTAATTTATAAGGAAAAGAGGTTTAGGCCGGGCACGGTGGCTCACACCTGTAATCCCAGCCCTTTGGGAGGCTGAGGCAGGCAGATCTCCTGAGGTCAGGAGTTTGAGACCAGCCTGGCCAACATGGTGAAAGCCTATCTCTATTAAAATTATAAAAATCAGCCAGGTGTGGTGGCAAGTACCTGTAATCCCAGCTTCTCGGAAGGCTGAGGCAGGAGAATCTCTGGAACCCAGGAGGCAGAGATTGTAGTGAGCCAAGATCACACCACTGCACTCCAGCCTGGGCCACAGAGCAAGAGTCTGTGTCCAAAAAAAAAAAAAAAAAAAAAAAAAAAGAAAAGAAAAGAAAGAAAACAAAAAACAAAAAAGAAAAGAGGTTTAATGGACTCACAGTTCCGTACGGCTGGGGAGGCCTCACAACCATGGCAGAAGATGAAGGAAGAGCAAAGGGATATCTTACATGGCAATAGGCGAGCGAGGACTTGTGCAAGGGACCTCCCATTTATAAAACCATCAGATCTTGTGAGACTTATTCACTATCACGAGAACAGCATGGGAAAGACCCACCCCCATGATTCAGTTACCTCCCACCAGGTCCCTCCCACAACACATGGGAATTATGGGAGCTAGAACTCAATAAAAGATTTGGGTGGGGACACAGCCAAGCCATATCACACAGATACTGCACCCGCATGGTTTCATGATCTACACTGTGAGGTAAGTGCTATTATAATGCCCATTTTTCTGATGAGGAAACTGAAGCTTAGCAGGATAAAGTCAGCAAAGACTAATTTGTCTCTTGATCTTTCTCCTGTACTAAGAAGAGCACTGCTTGTCTGCTGTGTGACCTTGGGAAAAATCACAACTTTCTGGGGCTCACTCAGTCTCTCGGTCCGTGGAATGGTTTTAGGGTTGGGAGAATGCAGGATGGTAGGCGACAAATAAGTCAGCAGTGGCATCATGACAAGAGCACTGGAAGTTCTTGTCAGACCCAAGCTCTTCCTGGCCAGGTATTGTGAGATGCAGAGATGATTCATGTAAAGCATCTCCCCCGCCACCCCCGAGACAGAGCCTTGCTCTGTCACCCAGGCTGAAGTGCAGTGGCGCGATCTCAGCTCACTGCAACCTCCACCTTCCAGGTTCAAGTGATTCTTCTGCCTCAGTCTCCTCAGTAGCTGGGACTACAGGCGTACGCCACTATACCCGGCTAATTTTTGTATGTTTCAGTAAAGATGGGGTTTCACCATATTGGCCAGGCTGGTCTCTAACTCCTGACCTTGTGATCTGCCTGCCTCGGCCTCCCAAAGTGCTGGGATTACAAGTGTGAGCCACCGCGCCCAGCCCATGTAAAGCATCTCTGTACACATAGTAGGTGCTCAGTTAATAGATGCCATTCTTACTGATTATGTTGGTAGCCAGTGACTGCTCAGATCTGTATCCTCCTGTTCTTCCACACTTCTCTCTCAATCACCAAGTTAATGCCGGGCACACAATCTTCTGGCTTTTTTAGAATTAATGTTTTTTTTTTTCACCTTTTAATGTTTTTTATTTTTTAGAGAAGGGGTTTCTCCCTGTTGGTCAGACTGGTCTCAAACTCAGGTGATCCCTCCACCTCAGCCTCCCAAAGTGCTGGGATGACAGGTGTGAGCCACTGCACCTGGCCTAGAATTAATGTTTTAAGGAGGGAAATGTTTCTGCTTGACAGGCTGTGCCTGAGGGTACAGATGAAAGTTGAGCAGAGGCGAATTTCTGTGCTGGGTCCCTGGCCCCAACACCTGGTCGCTTATTATTTGCATTTTGGTTTCAGTTTCGCCTCTGCCTCCTTCAGCTTTTTCATTTGCCTTCTCTCGTTTGCCAACATCCAATCTGTTCGAAGAAAACAGCACTGAGCAATTGGATCATGTCGGGGCCCGGGGAGCCAGGGACGTGGCGCCCTGTCGTGGCTTCCTTATGTGACCTTCAACGTTTCCACCGTGCAGGGCAGCTGTTTCCACCCGTCTTCAGTGAGACAAATTCCATGGTATAAATTCACTGCTTTCCTGGTGGCATGTTTTTGGGTTTGGGAAATGTGTCTGATTTACACTCCTGGCAGGAAGCAGGAGAAAGATGGAAATGTCTGTATTCCCAGATGCTTTGAAACCCCACGGCACAAAAACAAAGCTAAAACAACCTCCTCTCTCCCAAAACACAACTCCAAAAGCAGAAACTCCCACAGTACAAGCAGCATCCACATGGCAAAATATCATTGTGTTTCCTCCATGGCTGAAAATAATTTGCCCGACATATAGAACCACAAAGACAGAGAGGCAGCTGTCAGGAGCATGGGCCTTAGAGACAGCCTCAAGGGCCGGGAACACCCATGTGTCACCGCCTGGCAGGGGGTCCCTTAGTAAGTCATTTTACTCCTTTGAGCCTCAGAGTAGTCACTGGGAAATGGGAATAATGGCATACACTTCCCTCAGTCCTGGGGAGGGGATTAAACAAGATGCCATATGTATGTATGTATATATGTATGTACGTATGTATGTATGTATGTATATATGTATGTATGTACGTATGTATGTATATATTTTTTGAGAAGGAGTCTTGCTCTGTTGCCCAGGCTGGAGTATGGTGGTGCGATCTTGGCTCACTGAAACCTCCCCCTCCCGGGTTTAAACAATTCTCCTGCCTCAGCCTCCTGAGCAGCTGGGACTACAGGAGTGTGCCACCATGCCCAGCTAGTTTTTATATTTTTAGTAGAGACGCGGTTTCACCATATTGGCCAGGCTGGTCTCGAACTCCTGTCCTTGTGATCCACCCGCCTTGGCCTCCCAAAGAGCTGGGATTACAGGCGTGAGCCACCACACTTGGCCCTTGGTTATGTATTTATTTTTGAGACAGGATCGCGCTCTGCCACCCAGGCAGGAGTGCAGCTCACTGCAGCCTTGACCTCCCAGGCTCTAGTGATCCTTTTACCTCAGCCTCTGGAGCCGCTAGGACCACAGGCATGCACCACCATGCCTTGCTAATTTTTAAATTGTTTGAAGGGACTGGGTTTTACTATGTTGCCCAAGCTGGTTTTGAATTCCTGGGCTAAAGTGATCCTCCCACCTCAGTCTCCCAGTGTGTGGGGATTACAGGTGTGAGCCACCATGAACGCAAGATGCTGTATTTCAAGGGGTTGAAGGTATCATGCTGGAGCTCAGGGCCTGTGATTCTCTCATCTTTTGAGGCTCTAGAGGACACAGATCTCTTTGAGAATCCACAGTAGTTACTGACGTTCCCCGTTCCCCAAATGTACATATAAATATAAAAACCTTCCTCTGAGCCTGGATTAAGAACCCATGAGCTAAACGATCTCTTCGTTTTCATTTTTTTGTTTTGTTCTATTCTTTGTGTGTGTGGAGAACAGGGTCTCCCCTATGTTGCCCAGGCAGGTCTCGAACTCCTGGTCTCAAGTGATCCTCCTGCCTCCACCTCCCGAACTGCTGGGATTACAGGCTGAGCCACCACGCCTGGCCTACGCTTTTGTTTTTAGAATTGAAGAAACGGCAGCTTTCCAACAAGAAGACTTTTATAAAAAGTGCTTCGGGTCCCTCAAGACTCTTCCTAGAAATACCCAATGGCTGACCTCTACTCTCTTTTTTCCCCCAGTGTATTTAATGTGATAAATTATATATAACATAAAATTTGCCATTTTAACCATGTTGTGTACACTTCAGTTTCCTTTATTCTTGGAATAAAATATGCCCTTCGTCCCATGGCCTACAAGGCCCTCTGTGATCTGGCCCCTGCTGTCCCCTCTGACTTAATCCCGCTCCTTTCCTTCCGCTTACCAGACCCTAGGCCTTTGGGGGCCTTCTTGACTCTTCTCAAACTCACCAAGGGTCTGAGCGTGAAATCTGCTGCTTCTGCTGCCTTGGAATCTCCCCTTCTAGGCCTTTGTCTGTCTCATTTTTTTTCTCATTATTTATATTTCTACTCAAATGTCATCCTCAAAAAGACGACCTTCCTGAACATCTAAACAGGGATTGGCAAACCTTTTTCTGTCAAGGACCAGATAGTAAATATCTTAGGTTTAGAGGCCACGTGGCCTTTGTTATAATGGCTTACCTCTGCTGTTGTCAGGGCAAAGTGGCTATGGACAATAGGTGAATGAATGTCCATGGCTGTGTACCAATAAAACTTTATTTATAAATACAAGCAGCAGGCTGGATTTGGCCCACAGGCCGTCATTTGCTGACCCCAATCTGCAGTGTCCCCTGCTTGCCCCTTTGTCACTGGCCTTTTTTTCTGCGTTTTTTCCTCCTCTGTAGCCCTCTTGACTCTCAGAAACGCCACTGTTCTTTTATTTATTTTGCTCTTTGTTTATCGTCTGTCTCCTAAACTAGTCTATGGGCTTGGCCCAGCTTTTCCCTGTTGCCTCCCCAGAGCTACCTCAGTGCCTGGCACAGAGCCAACACTCACTCAGTAAGTATTTTTGGCTTGTTTGTTTGTTTGTTTAAGATGGGGTTTCACCATGTTGGTCAGGCTGGTCTTGAACTCCCGACCTCAGGTGATTCGCCCGCCTTGGCCTCCAAAGTGCTTGGATTACAGGCGCGAGCCAGGGCGCCCAGCCAAGTATTTGTTAAATGAAAGAATAATTTCTAGTGACTCATGCAAGTGTAGGGAGGGGCCTTAGAAGTCAGCCAACCCAGCAAACAGGACAGTAGCTGCATCTCCACGCCTGCCATGTCCGCAGCTTGGCGTGGCTCCCATAGCCTGCGACAGGAAGAAGTTTGCATTCCAGAAAGCAAGATAAGCTGCTTACCTCTCTCATGACTTGCCTGCAGGCTCCACATGGAGAGATAAAATCATCTTGCATGTCACTAGGGAAGCAAAGAATCAAACTCAAATTAGTCTCTCCGAAGGCCTGAGGACAACTGCTAGTATTCAGGCCCTGAGTCCTGGTTGTTCCTGACTTGAGTCCTACCCCATCAGGCTGTTCCTGATTCACAGACACGCTGTGTCCTAAAGGCTGAGAAGGCCACGTGCTGGCTTTCCACAATGCCGCAAGGTAGGGCCATGGGCAGGACTTCTGGTTAGTGCCGTCCATAAACATTTAGTGAGCACCTACCGTCACCCACACCCTGGGAATACAAAGGTCGAAGAGAATCTGTCTCTAGTCGTCAGGAGATTGTTCAGGCCAATGGGTGATGTAAAAAACCAGCTGAGTTATCATTTTTTTTTTTTTTTTTTTTTTTAATCTGAGACAGAGTTTCACTCTTGTTACCCAGGCTGGAGTGCAATGGCGCGATCTCAGCTCACCGCAACCTCCACCTCCTGGGTTCAGGCAATTCTCTTGCCTCAGCCTCCTGAGTAGCTGGGATTACAGGCACGTGCCGCCATGCCCAGCTAATTTTTTGTATTTTTAGTAGAGACGGGGTTTCACCATGTTGACCAGGATGGTCTCGATCTCTTGACCTCATGATCCACCCGCCTCAGCCTCCCAAAGTGCTGGGATTACAAGCTTGAGCCACCGCGCCCGGCTTGAGTTATGATTTTAAACAAAATGCAGCTGGGCCTGGTGGCTCCAACCTGTAATCCCAGCACTTTGGGAGGCTGAGATGGGTGGATCACCTGAGGTCAGGAGTTGAGACCAGCCTGGCTAACATGGTAAAACGCCGTCTCTACTCAAAATACAAAAATTAGCCAGGTGTGGTGGCACGCGCCTATAGTTTCCAGCTGCTCAGGAGACTGAGGCAGGAGAATAGCTTGAACCTGAGAGGTGGAGGTTTCAGTGAGCCAAGACTGTGCCATTGCACTCCAGCCTGGGCAACAAGAATGAAACTTCTCAAAATAATAATAATAATAATAATAATAATAATAATAATAATGCAGGAACACACAGTATGAGGAAAATAATCCCTGCCTGTGGACTGAGAAGGAAAATTTTATAGAGGAGGAGGCATGTGTCCTGGTCCCTGGAGGAAGTGTAGAGTTCATAAGCCACCATTCAGTGAGTGTCTACTATGCCAGGCTCTGTACCAGGCACTCAACATTCATTAATTCGTGTAATTCTCAGAGCAGCCTAAATGTCAGAATGGCACATTAAGGGTGAGGAGATAAATTTAGTGTGATGAAGAGGCAGAGATGCTATTCCGAAGCTCTGGGCTTCTCTGTGTTGTAGGCAAAGGAAATAAATAGTATGTGCAGCCAGGTGTAGTGGCTCACACCTGTAATCCCAGCAGTTTGGAAGGCAAGGCTGGTGGGCCACCTGAGGTCAGGAGTTCGAGACCAGCCTGGCCAACATGGTGAAACCCCGTCTCTACTAAAAATACAAAAAATTAGCTGGGTGTGGTGGTGTGGGCCTGCAGTACCAGCTACTCAGGAGGCTGAGGTGGGAGGATCACTTGAGCCTGGGAAGTGGAGGTTGCAGTGAACCAAGATTGTGCCACTGCACTTCAGCCTGGGTGACAGAGTGAGACCCCGTCTCACAAAATGACAACAACAACAACAACAAAACAAACAAAAAACAGTATGTGCAAAGGCCCTGAGGCATGAAAGAATAAAGTGCGTGTGACTCAGAGAGAAAAATGGGCTCCTTGCCCCGGAGAAAGCCTGGAGGAGAGATCACCAGCCAGGGATTGCCTGTGAGAGTTTAGGCTCCTGCGAGCAGACCTCTAGCAGGAAAGGGATGGTCCCTAAAACACGTGGCTTTGATGATGGAAAATTCCAAGCCTGTTGGAGCATCACAGGTGAAGCCAGCAGCCACCATCTGTCTTGATTTTCTGGACCCATAACTTTGTAATATCTCTGAAAGAACATGGGATTTTATTTATTTATTTATTTATTTGAGACAGGGTCTTGCTCTATTGTCTAGGCTGGAGTGTAGTGGCACAATCATGGCTCACTGCAGCCTCTGCCTCCTGGCCTCAAGGGATCCTTCTACCTCAGCCTCCTGAGTAGCTGGGACTACAGGTAGGCACCACCACACTCGGCTCATTTTTTGATTTGTTGTAGAAATAGGGTCTCACTATATTGCCCAGGCTGGTCTCGAACTCCTGGGCTCAAGAGATCTTTGTACCTTGGCCTCCCAAAGTACCGGGATTATAGACATGAGCCACCATGCCTGGCAGAACACAGGATTTAAATTTTGGTTCTTAGCTGGCTCTTCCTTTTACTATGTGTGACTTTGACTAAGTCATTTTAACTCATCCAAGGCTCATTTATTTGCTGTAAATTGTGGATGATATGTCATTTACTTTGTAAGAATGCTAGAAGAAGACCAAGTAATCCAGAGCTGGGGATGGGGGCAGGATCTTTGCCGGGCGCGGTGGCTCAAGCCTGTAATCCCAGCACTTTGGGAGGCCGAGGCGGGGGGATCACGAGGTCGAGAGATCGAGACCATCCTGGTCAATATGGTGAAACCCCGTCTCTACTAAAAATACAAAAAATTAGCTGGGCATGGTGGCTCGTGCCTGTAATCCCAGCTACTCAGGAGGCTGAGGCAGGAGAATCGCCTGAACCCAGGAGGCGGAGGTTGCTGTGAGCCGAGATTGCGCCATTGCACTCCAGCCTGGGTAACAAGAGCGAGACTCCGTCTCAAAAAAAAAAAAAAAAAAAAAAAAAAAGAATGCTAGAAGATAAAATGAGATAAGGTGTATGGAAGACTCTGTGAACTTTAGAATGTTATATACATATTGTTACTGCCTGTACTAATTGCTGGACATTTATTTCTTTACATATGTAAGCTCTGTCATAAGTTTGGTACTTTATCATATACAGTTTTATTATATGCTACGTGCTTTATGTACTATTTCATAATTCATCTTATTATATCTTAACAACAATTTTTTTTTTTTTTAAATTGAGGCAGAGTCTCACTCTGTCGCCCAGGCTGGAGTGCAGTGGTGCAATCTTGGCTCACTGCAACCTCCACTTCCTGGGTTCAAGCGATTCTCCTGCCTCAGCCTCCTGAGTAGCTGGGACTACAGGTGTATGCCAAGATGCCCGGCTAATTTTTGTTATTTTAGTAGAGATGGGATTTCACCATGTTGGTCAGCCTGGTCTTGATCTCCTGACCACGTGATCTGCCCGCCTCAGCCTCCCAAAGTGCTGGGATTACAGGTGTGAGCCACCGCGCCAGCCCAACAATTGTGATTAAGACAATGTGTGCCTAAAATGTGTCAGGCATTCTGCAAAGCATTTTATATGCATCGTCGCATTTCAACCAACAAGTATTTACTGAGCACCTACTATGTGCCGGACACTGTCATTGGCGCTAGGAGTGCAGCAGTAAACAAAACAGACAAAATCCCCTATGCTTAGGAGTTTATAGACTAGTGAGGGGAGCTAGGCAATTGATCAGCCAACCACCCAACCAGCCAAGGCATCAGATGGAGCTAGGGATAGACAATATGATTAGAATAAAACAGCCGTGGTGCTATTTTCCCTAATCCTCACTGTAACTACCTTTTATATGTGGGGGTCCAGTCAATGAAAGGTTCTGTTCCATGGAAAGATGGGGTCCTCTCTGAGCATGCTTCCAGCTTCAGAAGAAAAACCCATGGGCACCTGAGAGGGTGGGGACTCCCGCCCAGGACGCCAGTGAACCCTTGCAATTACTGAGTGACAGCTGTTGCAGCCGGGGCCTCTCCTATGCTCTTTAGGGTTATTTTTCACTTCATGCCACACATGTCAACCAAAGCCCTTCTCTATGCCAGGCAGGCATGGGAAAGGAGCCACAGAGACCAATCAGACAATCCCTGGAGCTTACCCTCTGGAGGGGAAGATAAAATTTCACATAAATGCCATAACAAAGGCATAGTTAGGGCCACGGGAGAGCTGTTCTGAATGAAATTCAGCCTTCCTTCCACGATCTGTAAGGCCCTGTATGATCTGACCCCTGCTGAGCTCACTGCTTCCTTTCTGAATCTTGTGGCATGTGTGGCCCACCACCCAAAGGCTAGCTTCCTGGACAAGGTGACCTGCATCAGGGATTCCAAGGTGGGAAAGCATGCATTCCACTGGGAAGGCAGATTTGGTGTAGGCTTCAACAACAGAAGTCACAGGATGGTGTTTCCAGGCAGCCTAGCGCTGAGGATGTAGACAGCCCACTAACAGTCATGGTTGACATGGACATGGTGGTTCTGTGTGCCAGCCTCTGTGCTCAGGACCTTAAGTGTATTAGTTCATTTAATACCCCAACGACCCTGTAAGGGATGGGGGTATGTAGGCATTCTTATCACCCGCATGCTGGAGATCATGAAAGGTGAAGCGACTTGCCCAAGGCCACGGAGCTAGTAAGTGGCAGAACCAAGATTTGAACCCCAAATCTATACACTCTGCCTTCGGTAGGTTTGCGGCAGAAGAAATAATGGTAACTTTAAAACAATGTAATAGGCCGGACGCGATGGCTCAAGCCTGTAATCCCAGCACTTTGGGAGGCCGAGGCGGGTGGATCACGAGGTCAAGAGATCGAGACCATCCTGGTCAACATAGTGAAACCCCGTCTCTACTAAAAATACAAAAATTAGCTGGGCATGGTGGCACGTGCCTGTAATCCCAGCTACTCAGGAGGCTGAGGCAGGAGAATTGCCTGAACCCAGGAGGCGGAGGTTGCGGTGAGCCGAGATCGCGCCATTGCACTCCAGCCTGGGTAACAAGAGCGAAACTCCGTCTCAAAAAAAAAAAAAAAAACAAAAAAAAAACCCCAACAAAATGTAATAGTTTGAGGCTGGGTGGGGTGGCTCACACCTATAATCCCCGTATTTTGGGAGGCTGAGGTGGGTGGGTCACTTGAGGCCAGGAGTTTGAGACCAGCTTGGCCAACGTGGTGAAAACCCTGTCTCCACTAAAAATTCAAAAATTAGCCAGGCATGGTGGCTGGCACCTGTAGTCTCAGCTACTTGGGAGGCTGATGCAAGAGAATCACTTGAACCTGGGAGGCGGGGGTTGCAGTGGGCTGAGATCTTGCCGCTGCACTCCAGCCTGAGCAGCACCAGCAAGACTTATTCTCAAACAAAACAAAAGAGAACAGAACAAAAAGCGAAAACAAACTATGTCTTGGTTTGAATTTATTACACACTCTGTGTCAGGAACTTTACAGAAATTGTTTCATGAGACCCCCATAGCAGACCAGTGCCCTCCATTTCACAGATAAGAAGCCAGGCTCCGGGTCTAAGCAACATGCCCCAGGTCGACAATGGGGCTGAATTTGGAAACCGGTTTCACTGAGCCCAAAGCCTGGGCTTCTGTTATTCAACGTTCCTGCCAAGAGAGAGCACTCAAGAGTGAGCGCCTGCTGGCTACATCAGGATGTTTCTTCACGCTTCCCCCTTTCTCCCTCTCCCCTGCGCTTCACTTTGTCCTGCCTCTTGCTGGCTATTTACAGTTTTCTGTGGTTTGTGCTCACCTTGGTCGCACACTGAGACCGTGCTTATCAGACTAAACGAGCTGGAAACCTAGACTCTGATCACCACAGCTGGGACCCCAGTGGGGCAAGCTTAACTCTCTGTGAGCAGTAAGACACACTCACCCGCACCTTTCCTGAGTGTGGTCACCCTTGTTAGAGATCTCAGAGGGGTTCTCTCTGAGGCTGTTCAGACGCATCCGATATTAACAAGGGAGTTGGCACTTCGCAGTCATCCTCTAAATCCACAAATGCTCTCAATGTAACAGATCATTAGTGCGATAATGAGTACGTTTCTGGCTCAGGGAAGCTGATGCAGGCTGCATACCCAGAGTACAGCAGTTGGGTGCTGGGAAAATGGCGGGTTTTGTGTAAATAAGGACACTTGCTAATCACCGCTAGTGACACTTAGCTGTGTTTAAAAGGAGATAATGACCAAGAGAAAAAGCCTCTCATTTGGAAAATTCTAAACAGAGCAAGGCATCTTTATCCTTTGGTTGACTTTGGCCTCTTTTTCCCTAGAATATCATTATTTTCTTGGATCACCTTTGAAATTGAGTTATTTCCCTCCTTTTCGTTTCATAAAGTGCAATTCACATCGTGATCCTGGCCTATCTGCACAAAATGTTCTCAGCACGGCATCATTTATTCCTCTGGAAACGGAAAGGAAGCCAGGACACAGCTCAGTCACAGGGAAGGCTCTTGGGTACTGGAGTCCTTCTCCTTAAGTGCCCCTGGGGTTTCATCTACTCGGAAACAAACCTGGAATAAGCTGGGTCACCTCCAGGACAGACTGAGGCAAAGTTTAGGATCTTAGAAAAGGCATGTGGGCTTGGTTCTGTGCAGTCCCCACTGGCCTTGCACTAAACGCCTGCATTTCTGCTGGTTTCCTATTAGCTAGAAAGGTGTTGTAGCTATGCCACAGGAATTAACTCCACTGTGAGTGAAGAGACAATTCCCTCATAGAATGTGACCTGTGCACTCAGATGTCCCTAAAGACCAATGGGCATGCAGCCTCCTTCTAGGTAGGATAAACATTTCCCATGTCATTTTCCTCATTAACTTGTTAAGAAAACTGTCATACATAATGCAAAGGTGCCGACAGGAGCAATTCACCGCGAAGTCATGAAATTAACAGAGTCCAAATTAGAAAAAGGGCTCATTTACATGCTTGAATCCTGAAACCATTGAGTCTGGGGCCAGAGCCAATAAGAATTCAACAAGCTGGCTGGATGCAGTGGCTCAAGCCTGTAATCCCAGCACTTTGGGAGGCCGAGGCGGGTGGATCACGAGGTCAAGAGATCGAGACCATCCTGGTCAACATGGTGAAACCCCATCTCTACTGAAAATACAAAAAAATTAGCTGGGCATGGTGGCGCGTGTCTGTAATCCCAGCTACTCAGGAGGCTGAGGCAGGAGAATTGCCTGAACCCAGGAGGCGGAGGTTGCGGTGAGCCGAGATCATGCCATTGCACTCCAGCCTGGGTAAGGAGCAAAACTCCGTCTCAAAAAATAATAATAATAAAAAAAAAGGATTCAACATGCTCCCTTGGAGAGTACGCTCATGCAAACTAGGATATTTCTGTTTGGGGCTCACAGGAGCATTGATTGGGTCTCGTATTCAGCCAGAACCTGGGCTGGACTCTGATTAATTTAAACCATAACTAGGGTTTACCTGGCTGTCTTTGTATCCCGGTTCTTGCACCGTGAGGTGAGTGTTGTCAAATGGAGTGAGCAGTGCTGAGTGGCTCCTTCAGGATCCTAGCATCAGCTTGAGGAGAGCAGGGAAAAGTGTTCCAACTCCTGGCACATCATGACGCGGGGCAATGAGCCCTGCAGTGAGACTCTGGAACCTGAGTTTTTTCCCGGCTTTGCCACTAACTCCCAGGAAAGTTGTTCAACTTCTCTGGGCCTCAATTTCATCAGCTATAAAATGGGGTTGGTGGCAAGGGAGTCTATAGCAGGTGATTTTTAGGTCCCTCCTTCTTTGTGTGTGCTGCCTCCTAATGCTGCCTTTCTGTTATATCTTTTAGGAGAGGAATCTGTATGATTTTCTGTTGCTGGAACAGGGCATACCGGCCCTTGGATGAGAGTTGCCTTGCTTATTTACCTACCCTGTAGGCTGTCTGAGGGCAGAGTCCATTTCCTTATTTATCTCCTTATCCTCAGCACTCAGCCCAAGGCCTTATACAGTGCCTGGCACATAGGAAGTCCACAATAAACATGTCAGATAAAGGAATGAATGAATAACATGTGTAAGGGGGATGTTGGCTGAAGAGATGAATGAGTATTGTTGCAACCTGGCTTTCCCACTCACCTGGCAATAGCAATTGCCCTGAAATCCTTGTACCCTTCTGAGATGGCCTTCTGGATAGCAGTCCGTTCAGCACAGATGCCCAGGGGGTAGCAGGCGTTTTCTATGTTGCACCCTGAGAAGAGAGGAGAGTCCAGGGGTATGTCCGACAGAGCCACTTCCTGCACGTGTGTTGAGTAAGAGGCTTGCCCCATTCCAGAGCAGGAAGGAACTGGTTACTCCAAACGAGGTGGGGCGAAGGAAAGGACAATTGACCTGGGGCATCGGTAGACCCTTTGGTCTATGGCAGTGGCCCTTCCTGAGAACCTCGCACTGTCTTAATTTACCCAGTGCCTCCAGGATGAAGCGCAGCCTGGGAGCAGGGCAGCGCAACAGGCAGATCAGGCAGTCCCGTCACTCCCGCAGAGGTCAAGGCCAGGGGAGAGGCTGAGGCTTACCAAAGCAAAGTAGAGCCTCCACACCTGCATCTAAGAGATCTAAGAGCCCCATGGTATGAATGTGTTCCCATCAAATTCATATGTTGAAAGCCTGGCCCCCAAGGTGATGGTATCAGGAAGTGGGGTCTTTGGAGGCATGATTAGGTACTGAGAACGGAATGAAGGGGACTAAGCCTAGGAGTGGGAGTCACGCCCTCATACAACCAGAGAACGGCCTTGCCCCTTCTGCCTCATGAGGACATAGCAAGGAGTCATGTCTACGAGAAAGCAGGCCCTCGCTGGATTTGCCAGTGCCTTGACCTTGGGCTTTCCGGTCACAGGAACTGTGAGCAATACACTTCTGTTATTTATAAGCTACCCAGTCTATGGTATTATGTTATAGCAGCCTTGACGGACTGAGACAGACCTTGATTCCAAGTGTGAGCCAAGACAAAATTTGGGGGGCTAAGTACTGGCTGTCAGAGTTCAGCCAGGGTTCTATGCCAGTTGTGTTGCAAGACAAACTGCGCAAACCAACTAACAACGAAATCAACTAACAAACAAACGCCCCCCCACCCCCCCGAGCTTTGTGCAAGTTGTCTGTGATTGCACAAGATTTAAGGCAATCTTCAGTCCTCCAATAGGATGTGGGCTCCTAAGATGGCCCAGCTCTCCGTAAGGGAGTCCCTCCTAGTGGCTCTCTCAGGGTGGTTCCGGGGGGACAGTGAGCCAGGGCTGCTCCCAGGAGACAAGATGTTGACATAACCAGATTGGTTAAGAGAGAGTTCATCTTCAGGGAAGTGAGCCCACCAACAAATCACCATGGGAGCTGAGCTTTCCCCTGACCGGCAAGATGTGGGATATGGTCTGTATCACTGTTGTCAATTGCCTTTCTCCCTGAGGCAGAGATGTGAATTATTCCGCAGTATTCATTTCCTAAATCTTCCTTTAAGTACTACAAGTGCCCCCCGATTCCAGCATGGCCACTCAGCTAGAGACTGTAATTCCCAGACTCCCTTGCAGCACAATGTGGCCACGTAAAGTAGTTCTGGCCAATGGGATGTGGCCCAAATTGACATGGGAAATTCCTGGATCTTACTTTTGGTAAGGAGGTTGCTTCTGCCTGTTACTTCTGTTTTCTTCCCCTTCCACAGGCTGGAAGGTGGAGGTGATGGGGTGGGACTCCTTTCGTGCGTGGCCATGGGAATGGAGGAGCAGCAAGGAGAGAGAAGGAATCTGGAAAGCTGGTCGACTCATGGCCCAGAGTTGCCTATCTACCTGGGGCCCACTGCCAACTCTGATTTGTTGTGTGAGAGAAAAACAGAGTTCCATCATGTTTGTGTCACTGCATCTTGGAATCTGTGTGTTATAGTAGCGTAACCCACACCTAATACAGACATTTGTGTGAAAGTGAGATGCAACTTGAACAACAAAAAAATCTAAAGTATGTGACATTGACTTAGCGGTTGAGCGACACGAAGAAGAAAACACAGACGAATGAAGATGGCCAGACGGTGACTTCTACTAGTCTGTTATTTGGTAAAGTTCCACCTGTGATAACTGGGAAGGCAGGCCGTGGTACCCACCACTAAAATTTCTCTCCCTGGCAATGGGAATCAGCCCTGTGGCAAAGAAATGATATGCCATCTGCCCACCCAGCCTGTTGTTTCAGGCACCACCATAGCCAGCATGAAGATGGGCCAGGCATGGAAGCCAGTGAGGAAAATGAGAGAGTTGGCAGGCTCGAGGACCGTGTCCAGAAGGGCTCTCTGGGTGTGGCACTTCTGTATGGAAATGATTGGAAGCAAATTGATCAGGATGTTTCTTAGTTTTTGATAGAATTGGATCGCCAAAGAAGCCACAAGTCTGGCCTATAAAACCCCAGGAGGTGGGTGTGAGGATGATGTGTGTCAGTCTGAACATGCAGATGAGGACGCAACTTGGGATGGTGGGACACCTAGACAGAAGAATCTGGTCTCCAGGACAACCTTGCAGGACAGAGGAATGCATCATCTATGCTGTGGACTCAGTCCACCTCTGGTCTGCTAGGTAACAGAAATAAGCGACTGTCTTGTTTGAGTCACTGTATTCTTATCTATTTCATCAACCCTCCCCTCCCCTCCCCTCCCCTCCCCTCCCCTCCCCTTCCCTGCTTTCCTTTCTTTTTGACAGGATCTCACTGTGTTGCCCAGGCTGGTGTGCAGTGGCACGATCATAGCTCACTGTAACCTCAAACTCCTGGGCTCTCATCCTAACCTCCCGAGTAGTAGGGACCACAGGCACACGCCACCACACCCGGCTAATTGTTTTGTATTTTTTGTAGAGATGGGGTTTCACCATATTGCCCAGGCCAGTCTCAAACTCTTGGACTCAAGTGATCCTCCTGCCTTGGCCTCTCCAGGTGCTGGGATTATAGATGTGAGCCATGGTGCCCAGCCTACCGTTCCTTTTCTAAGTCCCAAGTCTTCATTGGGATTATGCAGTATTTTGTTCAGCATTGATCAAATTTGGAAATTATTTGGTCATTGTCTTCTTGTATATTTTTCCTCACATTTTTCTCTGTCCCTTCATTATTTACACTGGCATGTTAGGAGTGATTAGTCATTTAGGTAATTGTTCTCAGGATCACAGGCACACAGGCATTCATGTCCAGAGTTGATGGATGTCATTAGACAGTGCTGGGTGCTACCGCTGCAGGTCCCTTGCTGGGGTGAGGGTGAGAGAGGTCACAGTGGTGCATGAGATGGTGTAAGGTGGGGGCCGGTTTGGAATTCTGCTTTGGGGACAAAGAGCAGGCATGTATACTGAACACCAAAGGGTAGACTATAGTGAACATCTACTGTTTTGACAACTTAGCACCTCTTACTTTTTTTCCCCCCGAGGAATGACCCTTACCTTATCTCTCAGCATGAAGTTCAAATGGGAGCTGCCATCTTGTCTCCTATGACCTTGCTATGAGCTTAAAGATGAGCACCTGACTCCAACTGGCCAATCAGAGTTCATCTCTGTGTGGGAACTTCAGTTTCTCTCTAAGACACTGCGTGTGGGCTGCCATGTTTCCATTTATTACGGAAGAGACCAATGAGAGAGGCTGAAATGGACCCTCAGAAGGATGGATGAGAGACGAGAGATGGAAAGAAAAGAGTCTGGCCGGTGCCAGTTGCTCCGAGATCTGGCTACGCCCCAGCTCTTCCCACCGTTTAGTTATAGGAACCAATACACCCTCCTTTTGTCTGAAATACTGCATGTGTATTTTTATCATTTGCAACTGTACAGAGATCAGTTAATACAGTTGGGATATGGGATAGGGAACAATCAGGAAGTTGCAACCCTGAGAGCTTTTGTTCATATTTAAATGTTAGTTATTATAGCTCAGATAGCTGGCCCCTTTTTGCTCAGTGTCTCTGCTGAGTCAATGAAAGTTGAATGAATGAATGAATGAATGAATGCCTCTTTCTCCCCACCCTATCTCCCCAGCCAGGTTCCTGATCCTCCCCTGAAATAACTTTCTTTTTTTTTAAATTTTCTTCGGAGACAGAGTCTTGCTCTGTGTCATTCCTGATCCTCTCCTGAAATGACTTTCTTTTTCTTTTCTTCTTGAGACGGAGTCTCGCTCTGTCACCCAGGCTGGAGTGCAGTGGCACCATCTTGGCTCACTGCAACCTCTGCCTCCCAGGTTCAAGTGATTCTCCTGCCTCAGCCTCCTGAGTAGCTGGGATTACAGGCACGCATCACCATGCCCAACTAATTTTTTGTATTTTTAGAAGAGATGGGGTTTCACCACGCTGGCCAGGATGGTCTCTATCTCTTGATCTCGTGATCCACCCACCTTGGCCTTCCAAAGTGCTGGGATTACAGGCTCTTTTCTTTTTTCTTTTGAGACAGAGTCTTGCTCTGTCACCCAGGCTGGAGCGTTAGTGGCACGATCTCAGCTCACTGTAATCTCTGCCTCCTAGGTTCAAGTGAATCTCTTCTCAGCCTCCCTAGTAGCTGGAACTACAGATGTGCCTCACCATGTCTGGTTAATTTTTAAATTTTTAGTGAAGACGGGGTTTCACCATGTTGCCCAGGCTGGTTTTGAAGTCCTGGCCTGAAGTCATCTGCCCGCCTCGGTCTCCGAAAATGCTGGGATTACAGGTGTGAGTCATGGCACCCAGCCCCTGAAAATGACTTTCTTTAAACACCATTCTCACCTGCCATATCTGCTCACCACTCCCACCTTCACTGACACCCCTACACTTGGTTTCTGCCTCTCTCCCAGATTCCGGTCCTGCCAGCCTCACTCCCAGTCTAGCCACCCTCTCAGCCCTGCCCTTCCAGCTTCCCTGCCGCACCCCTGACTAAGGTCTGACAGTTTTCCCATCAAGCATGATGCATGCAGAGGCTGGGTTTTGCTGACGGGCTGTGAAAGCACATTTCCACACTTGCAGAAGACCCTGTCTCTCAGTCACATGTGTCTGCGCTGGAAGTTCAGGCAGGCGTCAGAGAGAGAAATCTTCCTTCATTGTGTTAAAACATTTCAGGCCAGTTAATGGGAGAGAAAGATTGTTGTGGCAGGGGGCACACTCACACCCCACTACTCAAACAGTGCCCTGGAGAGCTTCCATTAGGTTTCATTCTGCCCTGGGACTCTTTGCCCTACTGGCTCTGAGTGTTGAGAAAGGGGACTGAACCGACAGAGTCTCCCTCATAGTCCTCC